GGAGCGAGGCAAGAAATTGTCCTCCCACTAGTTCTGTTACTACAGCTTTATAATAGGATGTTATCCACAGACTTTCTGCTTAAAAACTTCATCCCTTAAAAATAAATAAATAAATAAATAAATAAATGTTGGTTTAGATCAGTGGTGCTCAAGCACCTCTGGCCTCCTGGGCTGGATGACTGGTGTAAGGCTGGTCTACAGGCCAGGTCCTGTCCGGTGTCAATATTCAGGGCTGGTCTGCAGGAGTAATCTCACACACTGCCCCACTCCTGCACACCAGATCTAGCCATGACATGACCTGGTATACAGGGTCATGTCATTTGGATTGTCCATGGGTCTGAAAGGGTGACAGCTGGGAAGTGGTGGCAGCATTAATTGCCATGGCTCTGGAAGCAGCTAATGCTGCTACTGCTCCCCTGCCAACAAAAGTCCAAATCCATGAGGAGCCCAACAGGCTGAATGATGTGATTCCGTGGGCTAATCTGGACCATGAGCTAGAGGCCAAACACCACTGGTTTAGATAAATGCCTAATGGTGTCATGTTTTAGCTCCTGCTATACAAATTCTGGTAGAAGTCTCTGGAGTAAAAACTACTACTGTAGTAGAATAGCACAGACCAGCATGATATCAGGAGAGACAAAACAGACAAGATAGCATACCTTCCCACATGCTATTCAATGCTGTTCAATAAATTTGCTCAGAACCTTAATATTGACAGAGGTGAATCACAGAAGTTAAGGTATTTTAAAATGTCTTGGTATAAATTGCGGATCTTCAGATAAAATACATCAGGACCTCCCCATCAGGTCTATTACACAGCAAATAAGGAATTGAGTCTTCAGACCACCTGAGAGCCTCCCTTTACCTACTGAAAGCTAAGTAAGTACCAGGCTCACTCCAAGATGCAGAACTGCACCCTAGGCATGAAATCCCAATCCAACATGATTCTATGATGCCCTATCAGAGTGGAGAGGTTTACTTTCAGTATTACTAGCCTTAGATGCCTGGTTCCTCTAGAGCTTAGAGAAACAATACTAACAAGGTATTGAGATAAAGGAGTGATGCAAAGGATAGCAGGAGAAATAAAAGCCAGTATGATAAGAAATACTGAAGAGAAGCAAAGTGAGAAGCAAAAATAATCCATCAGAAACTTCATCTCTTAGATGGAACACTACCTCCCAAAAATATCCCTTTAAGACTCCAAGGAGAGATGTAAGCAATAGGAAGGTACAAATCACCCATGGTACAGCACAAAGTAGGGATATATGATTTAAGTTATATTCTATTTTGCATCATTGAGAAACTTGACATAAGTCTAATCAATGTGCCCTGTAAGAGTTAACCTAAATGGAACAGTTTTTAATTTGAAGTTAGACAAAGTCTTTACACATTTTGTGCTCATGTGCCCTCCAAATGGGATTCCATGATGTCTACTAGGGATATCATTAAAAAGGGGCCACTACTAACTGTGAAAGGCTGTTTAAGAACTGCAAAAACAAGACACACAAGATAACTGATTATAGCATTCACTTGGAATGCAAGAGAACTAGGCTCAAAACTACTGCAATTCAGAACTGAGACTTGAACTTCAACTGCTCAGATCACAAGTGAGTGTCCTAACCACATAGATTCATAGATGTTAGGGTAGGAAGGGACCTCAATAGATCATCGAGTCCGACCCCCTGCAT